TCAGTAATCCTCGGCACGACGGCCATTTTGACAATTTTTAAGGGGTATTTGACAATTCAATTGCAATAAGTCAGAAATATAATTCGATTGGGGATGGAATGCTGTCTGAGAATCGGCTTTCTGTGCGCGTGCTTCTGGTGTGTGTCAGACAGCGCAAGTACCATTGAGGTCACGGCTTATTGAGAGCGTTTTGCTAATGTTTCCATAAAGTTAAGCAATCATTATTTCTAAATGTTCCCTGAACGTTCATAACGTCCAGTTTTTTCAATGTTTCAAAAATGTTTTTTGTTGGTTAAAGGAAGACTAAATTTTATAATTTTGCATTTTTGGGAACGTTCATTTGATAAAAAATCACCGGACATTAACATGCTAAAAACTAGAAGCATGAAATAGCAAAATCTCTATCTGTACACTTCACACTGCCCAGCCTGATTTCAGTCTCACCTGTTGAGCTCTTGTTCACAGGAGAAGCCTCCATGGCACCCTGAGCAGTTCGGCCTCTTGAAGTCTCTGTTGGCTCTACAGGAACTTGACCCGGCAGCGGAGGGCACCGCCACCCTTCCAAGCTGTCGGACCTGGACAAACCGCAGCTGCTGCCACTGTCCTGTTCGCTTCGGCTCTCCGAATCATCACACCTCCATTCCACGGTGTACGAGCCTCTGCTGCTCAGCCTCAACAACTCTCTGCATAACCTCCTCTCCACATTGTCCTCAGAGACGGACAAAGATGATGATGAGTCTGTGGAAAATTTCAGACATCAAAAACAGTTTTTTTTATTTTATAATATTGATATGTAAGAATTGGTCAAAGCCTATTCTGACCTCTGCGAGAGTGTTTAGGTGAAGTGGACGGACGTCCATCATCTGGGCTCTTCTGGCTGCCGCTCTGCCACTCCTTCCTCCTGTGAGCCGGACCTGTGGACACAGAAACAGACAACTCAGAAGACGAAGACTGTGTTAAATATCCATGAAGATAAAGATGATGATGAGTCTGTGGAAAATTTCAGACATCAAAAACAGTTTTTTTTTGTGTGTAATAATATTGATATGTAAGAATCGGTCAAAGCCTATTCTGACCTCTGCGAGAGTGTTTAGGTGAAGTGGACGGACGTCCATCATCTGGGCTCTTCTGGCTGCCGCTCTGCCACTCCTTCCTCCTGTGAGCCGGACCTGTGGACACAGAAACAGACAACTCAGAAGACAAAGACTGTGTTAAACATCCATGAAGCTCCTGGATCTGTGTCTGGGTCGGGTCTGGCAGCGGATCCTGGTCACGGTCATCGGAAACGGGTCTCCAAACCTCCTGACCAGCCGTCTGAGAGAAAGCAGCTCTCCTGGATCTGGAGCGGCCTGAGGCTGGAATATTTCACATAGTTAACCAATACTCAATGTCAGTGGTCAATTACAAATTGCTACTATACATAACATGATATCATATGCAAGGAATCAAATACATGTGATAACTTAGCTGGGAAAATTAGGGGATCAAATTTACCTTGCACAAGTTTCTTCACATTAATTTACTGAATCATTGTACAACAATATCATACCATTTACAAATAAAAAAAACTAAAGCCCTCACCTCCTCTTCCCCACATGTGAGCCATTGACATCCTCCAATCTGCAATAAAAACAATACAAAAAAAGAACAAAACACAACTCTACTAAAAGTTAATACTAAAAATTAACTAAAACAATAAACTAAAAATTAAATAAAACAATAAACTAAAAATTAAATAAAACAATAAACTAAAAATTAATTAAAACGCCAAACTCCTTCTAACGTAGGGAAAGAACAATTAAATATTAGTCTCCACAAAAACAATATGAACTCTTTAAAACATAAAAATATGTAAAGGATATTTGCTCCGATCTTCTTATAGAATAAAAGTCTCTTCTCGGCTTCAGCTTCACAAGTTTTGCATAGAAAATACTTTGCAAAAGTCTCTGAATTGTTCGCCTCGTCTCTCAACCAACTCAGAAAGCGATCACTTCAAATGTAAACATATGCAGTCAGAATGCATAACGCGTCGTTATAGCAACTAAAATTCAAATCATTCATAACCACTCACGTAACGTTACACCTGAAGCGCTCATCGAATCAAAACACATTTATTGAAAAGTAACCAACTTAATTTTAAACAGTTATTATTACTATTAATATTATTATTATTATATTACTATGATAATCAGTGAAATTGTTCTTGCCTAAAATCTTCATTAGCTATTCATAATTGAGAGAATTAGCGCCGACTTTGCAAGGCACTTAATGGATCCCATGGTCATCGCTTCTGTCCAAAACGCGTGCAAAAAGTCACAATAAGCGAGGATAAATCGGAGTATCGGACATCATCATATTATTATAAAGTCTAGAATAATTAAATTTCCGCATATAACATCAAGCCAATCAGATTGCAGTATCACTAATGCGTCATCACACCGGTTAGTTGTAGAGTGGGGAAGAAAAGAAAAATCCAAATTAATAAACCCATTTATGATTTTACTAATCATGGAGTGGAGGATGACGTTCTTCATTTATTTTACAATGATCAGCTTTCTCAAACAATGTTTAAGTTATTAACAGTTTATCTGCGCTGTCATGTGCTCATTCGGACTGAAATAGTAGAAGCATTAAGAATAGTCTATGGTGGTAATAAAACAAAATCAGACATCGAAAAAAAAAAGAACTTTAACTTATATGAATAAAATTCAATTCTAAACTTTCCGTGATTGACTTCACTTTTCCGATGGACGGCAAAAACAACGGTAATTTGCCCTGATATTTTAATTACATTAATTCCTACATTTCTTTTAAATCAAATGACAAAATCCCAATCAAAGAAATACATCTGAATTAAATGCCTATATTTTTAATTGAAGTGGTGTCAATTGCAATAAACTGTGACTTTATTAAATCATTGTTATCAATTAGCTTAGGGCTATAGGCTATGATGAATATTCAAGGCTTTGAAAATTAATACATTCATTTTTATACATGACTGTATTAATTTCAGTTAATACAGTTGGAGCTGGGGAAGGTGGAGGGTTTCTGAAAGCGCGCTGGAACTACAGCAAATGCTAACCACGTATTTGAAAGTTGAGCAGCAAGCGAGCTCATTGGCTACGGATACAGCAGGAACCAATCAGCTTTGTCCTATAGTGATGATGTGATTGTTGACATGTTATGAACTCTTTAAAACTCCAAAGTAACCATCTGTGGAAAAATGCAGTACCAACCACCTAGACCTAGCAACACCATAGCAACTAGCCAGAACAACCTAGCAACCGAGAACATTTTCTTCAGGAAATGTAAATTCTAGTTATTATTGTCCACAGGCTCTAGTCTCATTATAGGGTTATGTTTTAGACAGACTCAACAATGCACTGAAGTTTGCAACCATGTAGATTTTTATGTACAGTTTTGTTTCATTTCAAAGGTTTCTCATAAGGCCGATTACAGGACTTAATTCAACAATGGCAATGCATATAGGAACGCATCCTACGGGATTGTGTGAATGGTGTGGAATCAGAGAAACAGTGGAACATGTAATCACCAAGTGTAATAACTATTCAGTGGAAAGAAGTAAGCTAATTGAAGAATTTCAGAAGAAAGGTGACCAACAACAAATAACATTAAAGAAGCTTTTAAACTCAGTAGAAGGGGGTAGTTCAATAATAAAGTTTTTGAATAGAACACATATGATTTATAGAATATAGATTCATTATTATTATTATTAACGGTATCATTATCCCTCTCTGGAATGTGAAGGACTTGGGTTGTAGATGGAGGAGCTGAACAAGCTGGAACATTGTAAGCATGAGTCCACTCCTGATTGTTCTGGGAAGAGGGATATAGGCTAATGTCTCTGATCCATTACTTACAGTAGATGGCGGCAATGCTCTTTTTAAGAATGCGAACCGCCAATAAACCCAAGTAAGAAGAAGACGAAATAGAAGAATTTAATGCCGCGTTCCAGATAACCCGTAACCCGTGTTTTTCCAACTCGTAACTGGGAGTACATCGATCTAGTACGAGTTCACGGATGGGGAGTCACGGGTTTGACTGCCGTTCCAGTGCACTTTCACGGGTATAAGGTTGGAAAAACACGGGTTACAGGTTGCCTGGAACGATGTACTCCCAGTTACGAGTTGGAAAAACACAGGTTACAGGTTGCCTGGAACGCGGCATTATTATTTGGATTATTTGCGTGAACACAGAAAAATCAGAGAAACACCTGGTGTCGCACTCACACACGAATTGAGTTACATATACAAATAAATTGGGTACATACTGAAAAAGTGACAAATTGGGCGGCACTGTTACAATCAAACCAATCGAGTTGCAAACAAATGCGTTTATTTAGTCGCCAGATCGTAAATTCAAACCCAAACGCTAAACAAATAATGTCCAAGATTATTTTTTATTATTTTTTATTTTTTAAAGAATCAGATTTGAAAAACGCAAAACTAGCGTTCAATCTGCTTTTTAACAGCAGGTGGCAGTAGCGCAGCAGTGAGGCCATAATAAGCAAACTCAGAGAGAAGAAGAACAAAGCAAAGCAAATCTAGCGGTGCTTGCAGTTAGTCAGCTTGAGCTTTGAATGAACTGGATCATATGTACGTGAGAAACCTTTCCCTATTCTTTTTGTCTGTTTAGCATAGATGTTTTAGATTCAATTATGTAGAAGTGAATGGCGTGATCACGAATATCAGATCAGATCTCATTAATGCATGACATGCAAAACAACTTAATGAGTTAAAAGCTAATGAAGCTAATGCATGCTTGGTCACTAATGCAATTTGCCAGATCCATCCATCCCTTGATCGAGGTCTTTGAGATCTAGAATTGCAAAACAACTACATCAACTAGTTAGTTACACTTTCTTTTCTTTTTTACAAACACTTAAATGTAATAATGCTCTGTGTGTTCATCATGGCATAGGCTTAGCTTGTATTTTATTAGAGTGTATTTTTTTTAGTTGAGGTTGTTGTTTGCAAAAAAATGTTTTACTGTGATGAAGCACCTGACCCATTTGTCTTGTGTACTGAACAGTGGAAATCTTCTGTTGCTGATGTTGGTGTAACGTTTCCAAGGTAACATATCCAGGGGTTAGACAATGAAACTGAAACACTGGCCATTATACCGTTAGAGGTTTCACGCCTATATATATGTATATATGTGTGTGGCCTGATAGCCAATCTTCACTGATTTTATGTCCATCCATCAGTAAGATCTGAGTGTGAAGGATGAATTAGCAGATCAATAACACAGCTGCACATACAATATTGCCATTCACACAACATAATGGGAGAGTTCAAAAGAGGACAATTGTTAGTGTGCATCTCGCTGGCTCATCTGTGACAAGGACAGTGAGTTTTTCTGCTGTATCGTAATTCGTGAGCTACTCCATCTCCATCCAGGGTAATTTCAGCATACCACAACGCTGGACAAACCACATCCAACAGGAGTAACTGTTGACGCAAGTGGAAACTCTATGTCCAGGTACTTACCCGTATTGTATCCAAAAAGACACAAAACCCACCGCTGCCCCACATTAAATGTGCACTTCGACTCTCCTATTTCCACCAAAACTGTTTGTCAGGAGTCAATATTCATGGTCGGCTTCTATAGCCAAACCTTCGGACAGTTGTACCAATGCCAATTGTCAGTTTCATTGGTGCCACTGCCAAAAGTGCAAATCTTGGGCTGTGGACACTGTGAAACATGTATTGTTCTCTGATGAGTCCTCCTTCACTGTCTTTCTGTTGGACTGTTGCTACCCAGAGTGAAGCACAGCGGTGGATCAGGGATGGTTTGAGCTGCAATATCATGGCATTCACTACTGCGCCAAGGACTACTGAACCGTTCTGGAGGACCGTGAGCACCTAATGGTTCAAACGTTGTGCCCTGAAGGGGTTGCCGTGTATCAGGAGGATAATGCACCAATACACACAGCAAGACTTGTGATTGAATAGTTTGATGAACATGAAAGTGAAGTTAAACATCTCCCATGGCCTGAAGTCACCAGCGTCACAGTGATCTGACCACTGTTCTGGAACAGGAATGGCTTTAAAATCCCTCTGGTCACTATAAAGAACTTGCATCTGTCATTCTCAAGACGAATTGATGCTGTAGTAGTCCATTTGCTGCAAAAGGAAGCCCTATACCATAGTAATATATTATTGTGGTCTAAAACTAGGTGTTTCCGTTTCATCGTCCAACCCCATGTATATGCTGATGAACTCCATAAAGTGTTCATTGTGTTTCTGACAGTTGATTTCATATCAAAAATCATTCCTATGATGTGCTAATAACACAAAACTGCCTTTCACAGCTCATCCACCAGCATGTCTGTTTCGGTTATTATCAAGTGGGGTGGGCAGGAGTACTCCATTAGCACACTGTCTGAGGAGGACACTGTGTTGGATCTGAAACAGTCCATCAAATCACTCACAGGAGTTCTTCCAGAACGACAGAAGCTCCTGGGGTTGAAAGTGAAAGGTGAGTGGTGTTAAAAACACACACTATTTCTGATACACAATATGCAAAGGAAAAACAGAAACGTTGTTTAACCTTCTACTTTTGTCAGGTAAACCAGCAGACGATGAAGTCAAACTGGGTGACTTGAAATTGAAGCCCAATACCAAAATTATGATGATGGGCACCAGAGAGGAAAGTTTGGTTGGTATTATTAAGTTTAACTATATTTATTTCTAAAATCTTCTAAGTGATTTATATATATGTGTGTGTGTGTATATATATATACTCACGGTATATATATATTAGGGCTGTCAAATGATTAATCACGATTAATCACATCCAAAATAAAAGTTTTTTTTACATAATAGCCTATATGTGGGTGCACTGTGTATAATTATTTTGTATATATATAAATACACACACATGCATGTATATTTAAGAAAAAAATATTATTTATATATAAAATATTTATATTTGTATATAATATAAATTATATATAAATCTATATACAGTATATACATAAATATTTCTTAAATATTTACTTATATAAACAAGCATGTGTGTGTATTTATATATATATAAAATAATTATACACAGTGCACCCACATATATTATGTAAAAAAAACTTTTATTTTGGATGTGATTAATCACGATTAATCATTTGACAGCCCTAATATATATATATATATATATATATATATATAATAATATTATTATTATATGTGTAATTTGTGGTGGGGTTATGCAATTCTGTTGTACATTTCTCTTCACATTTATTAGACTTTATGGAAATGCAAGTATGTTTTGCTCTTCGTACAATGCAAGATCCCATAACCTTTGAGTTTCCTCTCCATAGGAAGATGTTTTGGCGCCTCCACCAGAAAATGATGATGTGGTCAATGACTTTGACATTGAAGAGGAAGTGACTGAGGTTGAAAACAGGCCAGTGAAACCCTGTTATTTATTCCACATTCAAGAGTCTGGGGTCAGTGAGATATTATATGTATAAAATGAATAAACACTTTTATTCAGTAAGTATGCATTGAATTGATCAAAAAGGCAGTAAATACATTTCTAATGTTACAAAATGTCAAATAAATGCCGTTTATTTGAGGCTTTTTCTATGAAAGAAGAATCCTGTAAAAAATTAAGTATCATGGTTTCCATAAAAATATTAAGCATCACAACTCAACATTGATGAAAATAAGAAATGTTTCTTAAGCAGCCAATCAGGATATTTAGAATGATTTCTAGAATATTTTAGAAGGATCATGTGACACTGAAGACTGGATTAATGATGCTGAAAATTCAGCTTTGCATCACAGGAATAAATTAAATATTTTATATTTAATTAAATATTCAAATAGGAAACTGTTTTTACTGTATGTTAGGTCAAATAAATGCACTTTTTGCACATTTCAAAAATCTTACAGGCCCCAAACGTTTGAACGGTATTTTGTATTTTAAATATAGGCTAAATAATTGTCAATTTACTTGTATATATTTACTAATTAAGTACCAGAGTTAAATGTATAAAAAAAAAAAAAAATCTTTTGCCACTATCATACATTTGGAAACAAGATTATTCAGCCCACTATTCTGAATTAACGTTTTATATTTGTTTTCCTTTCATACAGAGAGGAGAATTTGGCCAAGATAGCTCGTCGAGTGAAAGATTATAAAGTTGACGAGTTAAATCCCCCAAGACCAGGAAAAAGATTGCTTGTTCTAGATATTGACTATACGCTCTTTGGTGAGTCTTTGAAACCCAAACCACATGCATCTGATAATATAAGTAGCACTGAGTAAATCCGTCTAGCCAATTATAGCAAAGTCGTCATTAAATCAAAACTGACTTTTTTTTGTTGTTGTTTTTTTATTTATGGAATATTGCGGTATATCTTATAAATCCATGAACCCTCGTAATCTTGAATCAAATTAACTTCCAACTCTTGCAACAACATCTTCTTTCTTCTTTGATGACATGTTTACTGGTGTAAGGGTGGGACAACCTGTCACTCACATGACATCACACCAATAACAAACCACACAACCATCCAATCAATTCCAGATGGACAAAATCAAGTCCTGCTCTACATTTTGTCTAGTTTGAGAAGTTTCTCTTGAATATTCGTCACAATCGGGAAGAAAAGACTATCGCAGCTTCCGTTTAATGACGACCTTTAAATCTTTAAATTGAAATACAAAGATCTGCTCTACTTGAATTCTTTAGGGTCCCTTGATAGAAAAACCAACTATGTTTTGACCTTATATACATTCACACATATACATCAGTGGCGTGCGGTCCATATAAGCTGCGAATGCTCTGCGTACCCAAGCCATTCGTGGACTCGCTGATTAGCATTAACACTATAAATTATTATAAATTCCCTTGTTTGAGGTGTACCATGAAGCTTACGCGAGAGGACTTTGGCAATACGTATGTTACTGTCTGACATTTATTTATTTGCCAAACTATGGTAATTTTCTTTAAATCTGGCAGTTACAGAGGGTTTCGGGTGAGCGGATCCACAATAGCTTTGGCGCCTACGCTCCATTGTTATGTATCGTCATCATTGTCCCGTGTTCTCATTGGTTTGCTGGCATATGGGGGATTTCATGTGCAGCGAATCACTCGCCCAAGAGGAAAAATGTGTTGCTGCCAGATCTCGATCAACGAAAATCACATTGTATTTGATACAAAACTAAATGGACTAAATCAACTGACAAAAGTCATAACTGAAACCATTTTAATTTTCTCCATTCGGGAAATTTATTTTTCGCGAAAACATGTAAATTGTTAAAGACAGGCCTACTGTAAGTAGACCTACTGTAACTATCGAAGGTTGCTAATGCGTTAGTCTATGCGTTTGTTAAAGTCATTGCATTATTTCAACTTGTTTTTACATAGTATAGATATAAATACTCTATATAGAGCGAACACAAGCGTCTCGCTTATAGTAAACCTATCCAGTGTATCTGCATCGGGCACTTTTTTTGACATGACGCACAACCCAGCATACCCAGTTAAAGAAGTCACCGCTTGCCACTGATGTATATATATATATGTGTGTGTGTGTACATACTGTATATGCATATGTTTTTTTCTTCTTTAAATGTAGATCATAAGTCCTGTGCAGAGACGGGTCAGGAGCTGATGAGACCATACTTACACGAGTTTCTTACATCAGCATATGAGGACTATGATATTGTCATCTGGTGTAAGTATCCATCTAGATAATGAAGTTTTGCAGACTCTTCAAGATGTTCAGGGACTCAGATCTGCTGTTTCTCTTTCATTCCTTTTTAGCTGCAACAAGTATGAAGTGGATTGATGCTAAAATGAAAGTAGGTCCTTGTTTTGTTTTCCACATTACAACAAAAACGCGAATCTGTGAAGACGATGATGTCGTGCTCGTGCGTATTACGTGTTCAGTCTATAGTGTTTCATCGCCATCTACTGGTCTAGCTGCCTCGAATGTGCCTCGGGTTATGATGGTACTCTGGTGATACATAGTTGAAGTCCCTCTGTGGTTAAAATCAAGCTTTTAATATTGTTTATGTCTGTGGGGTTTTTAATATGCTTTAAGACAAACCATGTGTAAATTCATAAGACAGCAGCACCATTGCTGAGTATATTCTCCTTAAAACGGTAGTGAACCAAAGAAAGTCTCAAAAACGTGGTTTGAAATCACTGGTGATTCTGACGTCACCAACTACCTTGTAACCAATCAGATCAACGAGTGATCGTCAACGAGTGGATCTCTGAGCTGAGTGAGTGAGTGGAGGCGGGGCTCATTTGCATATTCATAGAACCACTTATACTAAATGAAGCAAGGGTGTAGAGTTACATTCAAGCTATTTTAAGGCATGATTAATATTTTTTCAAGGAAAAAACGCTTAAATATGTAATTTTGGAGATCAAAGATGAGTTTTAAGGGATAAAATTCTTGAGTACAGGGGGACTTAAGTAAACTTTACTTTATGTAAACCGTATGGTCTTTATTACTGACATTAACATAATGCTATACCTGTGGTCTTTTAGGAACTGGGGGTGACGGACAACCCAAACTACAAGATCACCTTCATGTTGGACAGTGCAGCTATGATCACTGTGCACACACCTAAAAGAGGAGTCGTAGAGGTCAGACAGATTCTAGTAAAAAAACATGTCATTGTCTCTACATTTCATTAGCATGATGCATAATGTCTGCTTGTCATGTTTCAGGTGAAGCCTTTGGGAGTCATATGGGGTAAATATAGTGAGTTCTACGACAGGAAGAACACCGTTATGTTTGATGACATCGGAAGAAACTTCCTCATGAATCCACAGAATGGACTGAAGGTATGCTGGAGTCTATGTTTACAGTTTATTTCTGATTTAAGTTGGGAATTAATAAGGAATTAGGAAGGCACCTCGTGATTTGATTTGACCTGATTCTTGTTCTTTTTTTTTATTATTATTAATTATTCTAAAGTAATATACACTACTGTAAGATTTTTATTTTTAAAAGAAAGGAATACTTTTATTCATCATGGATGCATTAAATTGACTTACATTGTTAGAATATATATATATATATATACATTTCAAATAAATGCTGTATATTTGAAAGCTCTATTCATCAAAAAAAAAAAGTATGATGATTTCGTCAAAAATATGAAGTGGCACAACCGTTTTCAACATTGGTAATAATAAAAAACAATGTTTCTTAAGCAGCAAATCAGCATATTAGAATGATTTCTGAAGGATCATGTGACACTGAAGACTGGTGTAATGATGCTGAAAATTCAGCTTTACCATCACAGGAATAAATTACACTTTAAAGTATATTCAAATAGAAAACGGTTGTGAATTGTAATATTTATTACACGGTTTTACTGTATTTTTAATCAAATACAGTCAAACCACAAATTATTCAGACACCAGATATCATTTTTTATATTCTTTTACTAGTGGGTGCGGGACACTATAGTTCATTTATGTAAGTGAGGATAGCAAATTAAAGTAAACTGACATATTATACCCAAAAATTCTTCATACAGTGGACTACCAGTAAAATGTATAAAAATTTGGGACCAAAAATTATTCAGACACTTTGACCTGGCCATGTTTTGCTTAAGTGTTTTTTCTTTAATTGCTAATGCAACCTTTTTTACACCACAGACTGAAGAAAATGAAGCATTGCTTGGTAATCGGTTGAACTAAATTGGTATTATCTAATAGTGTAGTTAAATTTAACAGCCGACAGCTATTCAACCTAATTCATTTGTGAGACAGTCTAACAAAGGACGGCCAAAACCACTGAAATATCAACTGATTTGATTTGAGTTCTTTTCATATTTTATTACCGTTTTCTAAACTATGGCGAATAAACTGTGATAATGTGAGAAATGTTGATGGTGTCTGAATAAATTGTGGGTTGACTGTAAATGCAGCCTTGGTGGGCATAAGAGACTTTTTTAAAACATTAAAAAATCTCAGAGACCCCAAATGTTTGAACAGCCGTGTAGCCTCACAACGTACAGTACAATCATAGCCGGCTATAATTGCATGGAAAATTGAGAGGCCACAAAGCATTTGACCACTGAATTTTATAGAAATCATTTCACTTTTAAGGAGTGTTTTCTCAACATTGCAACATCGAATGAACTCCTGACGAACAAATTAATTATTATTTGAATTATTACTCAGTGAGTCATTTAACTATGTATTGTTCTGTCTTTGGAAGGCTTTTGGGTTTCAAGCACATTTTTATTATAATTAGTATTATTTTAATTTAAAATCCTTATGATTTAATTACTTAATAGCTTTTTCATTAAACTCTCAAACCTCTGCAGTTCCTTCACGAACCCTAACCTGGGAAACCCTGACATGATGTAATGTTTAATGCACTTCATGTTGTTGATAAAAGAATGGAATATATTTTCTTTCTCTTTGTATTTTTATATCAATGTGGTAGAAGATTATCCGATTCAATTTAATGTGATTTAACGAGCCTGTCTCTGTTGTTTTTGTATCTGCTTTATATGAAACTGTATTAAATGTTTTTAAACATGTATTCTTCTCCATGTATTGGTCACAGATCAGACCGTTCATGAAGGCACACTTAAACCGTGAGAAAGACAAAGAGCTCTACAAGCTGTCTCTGTATCTGAAGGAAATCGCTAAACTGGAAGACTTCTTGGGTCTCAACCACAAGCACTGGGAAAGGTGATTCTTCATTCCTTTTTAACATTCTTGCCTCATGTAGTATATGCAAAACCATGAATATGCTAATTAGCCCCGCCTCTGCTCACTCACGTCAGCTCAGAGACTTTTGATTGGTTACAAGTAGGACTGTCAGTTAAACACGTTATTAACGGCGTTAACGCAAACCCATTTTAACGGCGTAAATTTTTTTAACGGTCTTTTTGGCCTAGCAAACTTTGTAGTTTTATTCACATGCTCTTGCGACAGGACGCGGCGCTATGAAACCCATTCATTTCAATGGCTTGCGCCGCGCGAGGACGTTTTGTTGCTTCGACGACCAAAGTGCAAGCGGATCTAGCTAGACCGGAAACAAAACAACAGGCACGCCACACACACTTGTTTGGGCTTGCGAGCCGGCCAAATAGTAGGTTAAAGGCCCGTACACACCGGGACGAATATCGGCTCGCGTTATTCGTCAGCGTTTTTCAACGCGTTTTTTGTGTTCACACCCGAGCGATTTTCGCTGACGATGAGCCGAGTGAACACGCAAATTCATTCCCTGACATTAGATGGCGCTTAATGTAAAACAGAAATACCCCGGTCCACAAAGTGGCGCTGCGCAACTATGCTTCTGACACTCGCTTGTCACTCAGAAGAAGAGAGCAAGTTTGTCGCGTTTGTCATAGTTCTTTATTGTCGTTGGTGTCTCTTTATAAAGACACCAACAAGACCAGCAGCTCTACATTCATCTAGCCTTGCATCTTCCTCGTCTTATTTCTTCCCGGCAGAGTGTAGACGCTGTATATCTTCTTCGCCATTACGTATGTGTGCTCGGCAAGACCGTTTTGTGTTTGAGCGCCCCCAAGTTGTGTTTTACTGTAGAAGCTCCAGACACGTGAGCAAAAGCGCCAATCTCATTGGTCGGATAGTTTTTGACGCGGCGCGTCAAACCAAAAAAACGAACCAGAGGCGTTTTTTAAAAAATGACGCTTTTACGCATCGGTGTGCACACTCACATTGGCGCCCATTGTTTAGTCACGAGGCGTTAAACGTCGGCGAATATCGCACGCGAAATTCGTCCCGGTGTGAACAGGCCTTAACGTTACGTTTTGAGTGGATGACGAGCGCGAGACGCCGAAATGGATGCCAATAAGATTCTGAATGGAAAATTTACTTTTTAAAAGTTGCCAAATGGTTTCATTGACGAGACCAAAGTGATCTGTGTGTTTTGTCGTTGTGAACTGAGCTATCATCATTGCAGCACGTCCAGTCTGAAATACCGCTTGATGATGGCCAAGCACACACACACACACACACACACACACACACACACACACACACACAGCTGATGCGAATCCTCCGACCCCTTGAAAATATCACGACCTCGTCGGTATTTCTTTCACCCTTTTATTGATGGACAGTGTTACATTGTGTGAGAGATTATTTGCTCCAAGTGAGAATGTTAGTGTGAAATTGAACACAGTATATGCCAATGTTGTTTTCAATAAAAAACATTTGCACAGAGCAAGCCGATCCACTTTTCCATGTTGATAAGAGCATTAAAATGAGAAAAAAATAATGGGACAAAAATAAATCAAGAGACATTTAGAATAGATAAAAATGTGCGATTAATCGAATCGTGATTAAATATTTTAATCGTTTGACAGCACTAGTTAAAAGGTAGTTTGTGACGTCAGAAACACCAGCGATTTCAAACCGCGTTTTTGAGACCGTCTTTTTTTACATAGACATAAACAATATTAAATACTTTATTTTCACCACAGGGGGACTTTAACTTTTTAAATTATATGTATTTAAGAGTAATTTTAGGGGCCATTTACACAACACTGTTCTCTGCTAAAAACTGAACTTTTTTTCATGCATTTTGGCCATTCATTTACACGACAACAGCGTTTTGGGGGGCTGAAAACTGGTTTCAAAGTGCAAGGTTTTGAAAACGATACCCTTATTGTCTACGTGTAAACTACGCACCAGTTGACAGTTTTCACAAATTCACATTTTTATAGTTTTTCTTTACAAAGTGACACCGCCAACTACTGACCTAGCAGCAGAATACAGCGTTTTTATTCATTTTCATGGATCCGTGTGAACTGGGATCGTTTTGACATTGTTGTCAGCTGTACGCAAAAAAAACAGTTTTTTTTTTTGTTTTGTTTTACGTTATTGTCGTGTAAACAAACCCTTAATGTGGTGCGATTTAATTATAGAAAAGTGACAATTTAAAAATAATTTGATCTAAAATAGTTAGTCTATATCCTGGACAGATTGACAAACTTTATTTTCAAAATGGGTCATTAACTAAATCTAAAGCCATTTAAAAAAAAGACTTGAAATAAAACAAAAATTAACTGAGAAAATAGATGTAAGCTTATTTTATTTCAGCTATTTGCCAAGGCAACATTTCCTATTTTCATTTAGTTTAATGTGAGGTACTAAAATATATAGACATACTAAAAAAAAAAAACTAATAAAAATGACAAAAACAACAAAATTACAAAAACTGAAGTTTACTAAAATAAAAGAGAAAATACAATATATAGTTCAAAATATGAACAAAAGCTGTATCAGTGATACTAAAATAGCACTACTTTGGACTGAGAGACTGTTTAATAATATGGAAATAAAACACATTTTGTCTCTTCAATGCTGTTGTCTTCCACAATAATGTAACGTATTTGCTGTAATAAAAGCCCCCAAAAGAAGATACATGCGACTAGCAATTTGACTCCATAATAAGGATATCAAGTGTAATGTGATGAATGATTTGTACAACCCTTTTGTCTCCTTGTCCGACAGGTTCCTCTCAAAGAGGCAGAATCAATGACATCTTCAGAGTCTAGAAAGGTACCTGACCAAACAACTGCTGCTCCACATGTCATCGGCTTCTCTGTATCTCGCCCTGTTCATCTTACGTCTCTTTATAGTCGCTCGTTACCGGAGGACAAAAAATATTCTAGCATTTGTACTCTTCAAAACACTATTTACCTCAACAGGTCAATGAAAAGCATTTCAACAATTAATAGCATCGACTGCATTTAATGCAAGCATGACGGTACTTTGACCTCATTCCCCGCCTGACACACTCTTCTTCCTGTAATTCACTTTTTTGTTTTTCTGTTGGTGGAAATTTGGACATTCTGTTAATACTGTATCTGATTGAAAGGGGATATGATGCAAATGTAATTGAGTTTTTTTGCTAAATCTTAGTCTATGGAAAGAATGAAGCATTTACTGGAAGGCGTAAACACTTTACAGGAAGGTGTAAACACTGGCCGTGACTTAAAAGAAGCAATAATTCTGGACTGGCTGCTAAATTCTTTGTCTGAATGGCTCTAAATTCCAAAGAGATGTTATTTTAAGCCGCACAACAGCGGTTGAGAGATGAACGTGCATTTGCAGATTCATCGGCAGATAAAAACACTTCTCCAAATGAACAATGATGAATATTTGACATGTTTACATGCATGTTTTGTTTTTTTTCTAAATACAAATGATGTATGTTTTATGTTCATAAAGCAGTCACATGATAATAGGGAGGAAAAGAGATCATATCAAGATAGCCTGACAGAAGTTTTTTTTTCTAGTTTTTTTCTTCTTCGAAGTCATAACATTGAAGCTTGTTGGTATTTTCCCCCCTTCTGTTTTAAACACAAAGTATGTGTTTGTCATCAATTTCGGTAGATATTAACTTATGTAAACAGTATTGCATTTTGTGTAACTGCATTTCATCTGGTGCTCAGATGTGGGTATTGGATTTATGGTTGTAACCTAAATGTAAATTAAACTTAAATGGTTTTACAGTAGTTTGTGTGTAGTTTGTCAGATGTTTAATACTACACTAAAATGAAAAGTTTATATATCAGTCAAGATTCTATACACGTTTTTTTTTTTTCTCAAGTAGACACGTCTAAGTCCTCTTATAAATATGAACGTTGCTGTGTATTTATGCACGTTTTATAAATTAGGCCATTGGACTAGGCTTGAACTGTAGTCACATCATAAATAATGCTATATGCAGTATATGATGTAAAGAAAATATAACCGTTTTCTTTAAGGTTCCATTTGGTTCAAAATTAGTTAACATGAACTATACTTTTAAAACATTTACTAATCTTAGTTAGTTAATTTGATTGATTATTCAAATCAAAAGTTGATATTTATTGGACCTGAGCTAACATGTGCAACAAATAACAATGATCAGTCGAAACTAATGTCAACAAAGATTTTTAAGTACTGTAACAAATATATTGCTCATTGTTAATGTTAATGAATTGACTAATGTTAACTTATCTTGTAAAATGTTATAAAACAATATTATAAAAAAAATATTGTGCCACATTTTAGCACGATGCCTTAGAACATAGCCAAAATAGTGAATTTCAAATATTTTATGCCATGATCATTTTTTGGAATATAAATGTTATTTAAATCTCCAACACTAGCTATATATTATATTATAGCATGTAAATAAGACCAATCACACAAGCAGGAATGACTCTCTCAGTCCCTGATTAACACAAACCCCATTACATAACATAAAATGAAATATACCTATAAAATATTGAAAAACTGTGAAATATGAAGCCATTGAGTATTTGAATGATCTGGAACATTTATTGCACAAATCAATTTTACAGTGGCACATATAACATAAATTAATATAAATATGAATGGCTGCAATATTTTGTGCGCAATAGAAAGCATATTATCAAGCAGAGTGATGTATCCCTTGAGACCTGCATTCATAAAACAAAGAATTGAAAAATGTCAATAACATCAACTAAAAATGATCAATATGGCCATTAAAAGACAAATCAACACACCTTTTATTGTTCCGAAGTGTGCCGGTGTTTTCTTCTGTTACACAAAAGATACAGAATGTAAAGCTGAATATTTTCATAAAATATAAAATACTTGCAGGTCAAACTTTACTTACACATGATGGCGACTCCAGTCACTCCAAAGTGTTTTAGTTAGTGTGTCCTGAGCTCGAACGCAGAAAGTATATGTTTTTTTGGCGTTCACCTTGTAATGTGTCTCAGTGGTTTCCATTTTCTATATTACCAGAAATGAACATCTTTAATATTTTTTTATCTTTATTAACTGATCTTGAAAATAAAACAAAAATCAAGGAAATTAACTTACTTCAACACGAGTTCCTGTGGAATCACAGCTATGATTGTTGGGAACCACTTTCACCTCATAGGACAGGGGAAAGAAACTGCAGGGGAAACTCCACGTCCCAGGGGGGCGCCACTCAAACACATCATCCTGGATCTTGGTGATATTAACTTTATCTGGTTGGACTGAGAGTTTGAGTTAGGACAGAAGTAATAGTTTAATGGAAATCAGTTTAGTACAGGGGACCGGGGAGTCCTCAAGATGACTTAAAAAGATTTCAAATAAGAATAAAATAAAATCTTACAACATCATGGGCATTTTTATAATGAATACATATTTTACTATTTATTCCAAACTCGAAAATATTTTACCGGTTACAAATTTGTGAATAAAAAAAGTTAAAAATCCTGTATTTTTTTAAATGTGTAGTTAAATATATTTAAATTAGGGCTGTCAAACGATTAATCACGATTAATAGCATCCAAAATAAAAGTTTGTGTTTACATAATATATGTGTGTGTACTGTGTATAATTATTTTTAATACATAAATACCCACACATGCATGTGTATTTAAGAAATATTTGCACGTATATACTGTATATAGACTGAATGTAGCCTATATATAATGTATATTTTATATAAATATAAACATTTTTACATATATTTTTCTTAAATATATACATGTGTGCATTTATATACAAAATAATTATACACAGTACACACACATATATTAATTATTTTGTATATAAATGCACACGTATATATTTAAGAAAAATATATGTTAAAATGTTTATATTTATATAAAATATACATTATATATAGGCTACATTCAGTCTATATACATGCAAATATTTCTTAAATACACATGCATGTGTGGGTATTTATGTATTAAAAATAATTATACACAGTACACACACATATATTATGTAAACACTAACTTTTATTTTGGATGCGATTACTCGTGATTAATCGTTTGACAGCCCTAATTTAAATACATGACATACAAGTTTCAACAGAAATGACATTAAAGTAACTTTAGTTTACCATAATTAAAGAAAATATAATTATAACATGACATAAAAATCCTACTTAAGCACCTCTACATTTAACTAATTGCATTTAATATAAATGTAACCTAAACTATACGTTTAGTTCTAAATAACATGCATTTAAGTGTCTGAAAGCACTTTCTTGTCTGAAAGTATATTCTTTTAAAGTATATTATTTCTGTAATATTCCGTAATTATTTTTATTTAGAAGTACGCTAAAGTGTACTTTTTCACAAGAGTATTTATTTACACATGATACTGCCCACAAAAACGATTTGGTCACTATTTCTGGCTTCAAATACTAAATCAACAGATATACCCTTCAAAATGAATACCAAAAAGTCTTCATGTATTAGTGTTCATATAAACGATGAGTCTAACGGATCCCAAATCTGAAGTCCAATACATGTAGTGACCACCCGGGGGCACAAAAGCTCTTACCAATGTCCCGGATGATGAAAGTCCTCTGGTGTTCCTCCAGCCGATACAGGTTTCTGACGAACAGAGTGAGATTGATGCTCCTAGGCTCTTCAGAGTACGGACAGTAATCCTCGTCGATACACGTCAGTCCGGAGATATCAGAGTCCAGAGTGCAGTTGATCAAACTAGAGTTCCTGTATAAACACATGCCCAGTTTAGCTCTGGTTTGCTCTTTCACCACAAGCCTAGCCTAATTGGTTTCACTTTATTTTGATGGTCCCTTTAACACATTCTGTTGACTATAAGTAACATTGCACCTATATGTCTACTAACTGTCATTAGAGTGTTAGTAGAGTATTAGTAGACTGGTAGGGTTAGAATATGTTGACATGTACTTGCAAAGTTACTTATAGTCAGTAGAATGTCTGTTGTGGAGCATCACAATAAAGAGTTAGCATTAATTAAGCAGACGGTCTACTAATACATTAAAGGGATAGTTCACTTTGAAATTAATTTTTGGTATGTTTTAGCTTACCTCAAGGGCATCCAAAATGTAGGTGTCTTTGTTTCCGCAGTAGTTTCAATTTTGATATTTTTAGGCCAAACCGTTCTTGTCTGTCAGTCATATAATGCAGGTCTATGGTCACTTCCTCAAAGAGCATGCACAGAGAAGTCCAAATTAAACATGATTTAGTGACTCGTAAATGTAAGTACACATTGATGGCCTAAGACACGAAACGTACACGCGCGAGAGATCACTTCCGGCGCTTTCCGGAAAAGACCGAAGCGCCCGCGCCCTCAGATCACTTGGACGTGGCTGTAGTTACAAGAGATAAAAACGATATAAATACTGTTCGTTTTCTCACACAAACCGCTCGTTTCGTGTCTTACGCCATCAATGTGTACTTACATTTACGAGTCACTAAATCATGTTTAATTTGGACTTCTCTGTGCATGCTCTTTGAGGTGGTGACCATAGACCTGCATTATATGACTGACAGACAAGAACGGTTTGACCTAAAAATATCAAAATTGAAACTACTGCGGAAACAAAGACACCTACATCTTGGATGCCCTTGAGGTAAGCTAAAACATACCAAAAATGTATTTCAAAGTGAACTATCCCTTTAATAAGAGTAAGTTAATAGTTGGAGTGTATTGGCAAAGTTACTTATAGTCAACAGAATGTTCAAAAGGGACCATCAAAATAAAGTGTTACCGCCTAATTAAATTGATTATTTATACTTCTTAAATGATTAATTCAGAATAGTTACCGTATTGCTGCGAAATATACCACGGCTCTTTCTTTCCGTTCCTGATGCCACGTCCAAGAGCAATGAAACTGTCCGTTATAGTTCCTCGCAAAACAAGAAACAAATTCTAGACAGACAATAAAAAAAAAAGTTGACCAGTTCAGTCCAGTACAGTGAGAAAAACAAACAAATCATATGTACATTTGATTAAATCAATTTGAATCACTGAATCTTTTAATCACTGAATTAATCTTTTACTCAATTTTACACAAATATACATCATGGACACGAATTATGGACTTGCGGTACATTAAGACACTAGTTTCGTATGAAACGTGTCATGAAACTGTTTAAATATGCACATGAGGTTTTATGTAATTAAATATGGACTAGGCTATTTCTCATTTCCAGAACAGAAATCTAAACTTTGGATACAGCCCGTTTCAAAATCCATGTTTCGTTGTGTTGACATGTTGGAGTTTAAGGTTGTACTCGTCTATTTTTATCACTCCATAAATAAGGAAAAACAGGCAGAAAACAAAACAAAAAAAATTATTTAAATCATATGAAAATATTCAAAATAATGTTTATGTAAGAGCTACTAAAGTGGAGATTTCTGACTCGGTTTTTAAAAGAACGGCCTCTGTATTTGACTTAAATCTACAGACACAAATAGATAAAGTGCAATAAACATGCATTTGTATTTTTGGGATGTTTTCTTTCCACAAGTCTGAGAGAAGTCTGCAAAATAACCCATATTTTTAAACTTTACGTGTGCATCTTGACTGGCAATTCCCAAAACATTAAATAGGAACAGAATACACTGCTTCAGCACATTCCTATAGGCACGTGTGTGTGTGTCGCTATGCATACACATTTTCCAAAAGGCAGATGTCAAGGGCTTTTGATCTTACGTTTAAAAGCCAATGAATATCCCACAAACTCACAGATTTATTTGAATGTATATATTTTTTTAAATAGACCTATATTTTAGGACTTTATGACGTTTAGTTCAAGATGAAAATGTTGTCTTTATAACTAGATATTAGTATTTTAAACTTAAAATGTGTGTATTTATATACACATACTGTTCAACTATTCTTTGGGACCAGAAAAGATTTCCTCCTAGTACTTTAGCGATTCCACTATGAACACGGAAATATTCTTTATATTTACCTCTGTGAATGGAGTGTGTAAGAACTCCTTTAGGAAAGTTGACGGGATGGACCAGTAACAGTGTGTAGTTCAGGGTATCTCTGTGGTTTGCTCTGTGACACGTGAAGTTTCCCCCCCGCAGCCCGTCTATGGTGACAGTGATGCGGTTTCCTGTCTCAGAGATGCTTTTCTCATTCATCTCCCAGTGGATCTGCTCTCCTTCATATTGCTCTCCACAATGCAGTGACACCTCAGAGCTGGACAGATCTGACACGTCCAGAGCCACGACTACAACACAAAAACTCCATCATCAGACTCGCCACGTTAAAGGAATAATGCCTTCTTTCAAAAATTCATACTTTTATTAATGCAGCGTATTAAATTGATCAAAATGTATAATATTCACTGCCGGTCAAAAGTTTGGGGTTGTAAGATTTTTTTTTTTTTTTTTTTTTTTTTTTACATGTTTTTAATGTTCTCTTCTGCTCACCATTCATTTGATTAAAAATACAAAAAAACTAATATTGTGAAATATTATTACCATTTTAAATAACTTTTCTATTTGAATATATTATAAAATGTAATTTAGTCCTGTGATCAAAGCTGAGTTTTCAGTATCATTACTCCAGTCTTCAGAGTCCCATCATTCTAATATGATTATTTGCTGCTCAAGAAACTTTTATTACTATTATCAATGTTGAAAACAGTTCTTAGATGAATAGAAAGTTTAATAAAAAAAACAGCATTTTTCTGAAATAGAAATAGTTTGTAACATTATACACTACCCGTCAAAAGTTTGGGGTCAGTTTGATATATATATATATTTTTTTAAAATAAATTGTTTATTCAGCAAGGATGCATTAAATTGATCAAAAGGGACAGTAAAGACATTTATAATGTTATAAAAGATTATTTCTTTGCACTTTTACAGCATTTAATTAATGTTTGTTAATGTCAACATTTACTAATACATTATTAAAATCAAAGTTGTATTTGTTAACATTAATGCACTGTGAACAAACAACGAACAGCTGTATTTTTATCAACTAACATGAACTAATAACACACATAACACACAGTAACACATGTGTTGCTCATGGTTAGTTCATGTTAGTTAATACATTAATGTTAACTAATGAACCTTATTGTAAGGTGTTAACGACCTTCTACGAAGTAATGTTGCACCTGTCAACTTATTCTACTAACCCAAACCTACTAATACTGTAACAATACACACAAACATATATATATATATATATATATATATATACATTGTTTAAAGAAATTAGCTAAAGATACCAATAAATGAGATTTAAGCAATATTCACCATTTGCCTTGAGGACCCTCAGTGAAGTGCCGCCTGCCAACTGAAGGACAGCTTGCAGAATAAGAAACACAATCTTGCTCATCTAAACAAAAAATGAAATGTTAATATTATAGTATTATTGTGTCAATTAAAGTTTATGTTAATACAGAAGTGAATATTAAAAGAAAAGCATTATTCATATATATCAATATTACTTTAAAATGATTTTGTGATGAAATCACAGTGTTTAATAAACATCATCATAAACGGTGTTCTTATAATATCTGAAAAGCAGGCCTCACACACAGCTGTGCATGCGAGCAGTCCAGATGTGAAGGACACCTCTGTTTGAATCTTACCTTGAACTGAATGAGTTGTGGTGACTCTTCCCTTTCACTGAGTCCTTTTAAACCTGAGATGTGAATGCGATACAGAAGTGTGAATTTCCAGCAAGCAGAAGTGTCAAGCTGTAAACAGAGGGATGTGGAAACCATGTGGTGAAGCCAGTTAATTTGGGATTTCCATGAGCTGTGTGACAGTGCGTGTTGTGTGTTAGGGGTTTCAGCGGGAGTGCTTGAGCATGAGAATGAAACACCTTACAGGTCATCAATTAAATCATCTTCACTTAGTGAAATTAGATTTTTTTTTGTGTGATTCATACTTTCACTGCTATTATATGATGATTATTTGTTAGTTTATATATATATAAACTAACAAATATATATATACAAATAAATATTATAATATATTTATGAAGAATATATATATATATATATTGTTCATAAATATAATATATATATATTATTTTTATATGAAAGGCATCAATATGAGTTTCACATGCTCCTGATGTGAGGCCCAATATATAGTGTGTGTGTGTGTATATATATATACACTCACCGGCCACTTTATTAGGTACACCTGTCCAACTGCTCGTTAACACTTAATTTCTAAGCAGCCAATCACATGGCGGCAACTCAGTGCATTTAGGCATGTAGACATGGTCAAGACAATCTCCTGCAGTTCAAACCGAGCATCAGTATGGGGAAGAAAGGTGATTTGAGTGACTTTGAACGTGGCATGATTGTTGGTGCCAGAAGGGCTGGTCTGAGTATTTCAGAAACTGCTAATCTACTGGGATTTTCACGCACAACCATCTCTAGGGTTTACAGAGAATGGTCCGAAAAAGAAAAAACATCCAGTGAGTGGCAGTTCTGTGGGCGGAAATGCCTTGTTGATGCCAGAGGTCAGAGGAGAATGGCCAGACTGGTTCGAGCTGATAGAAGGGCAACAGTGACTGAAATAACCACTCGTTACAACCGAGGTATGCAGCAAAGCATTTGTGAAGCCACAACACGCACAACCTTGAGGCGGATGGGCTACAACAGCAGAAGACTCCACCGGGTACCACTCATCTCCACTACAAATAGGAAAAAGAGGCTACAATTTGCAAGAGCTCACCAAAATTGAACAGTTGAAGACTGGAAAAATGTTGCCTGGTCTGATGAGTCTCGATTTCTGTTGAGACATTCAGATGTTAGAGTCAGAATTTGGCGTAAACAGAATGAGAACATGGAACCATCATGCCTTGTTACCACTGTGCAGGCTGGTGGTGGTGGTGTAATGGTGTGGGGGATGTTTTCCTGGCACACTTTAGGCCCCTTAGTGCCAATTGGGCATCGTTTAAATGCCACGGCCTACCTGAGCATTGTTTCTGACCATGTCCATCCCTTTATGGCCACCATGTACCCATCCTCTGATGGCTACTTCCACCATGTCACAAAGCTCTAATCATTTCAAATTGGTTTCTTGAACATGACAATGAGTTCACTGTACTAAAATGGCCTCCACAGTCACCAGATCTCAACCCAATAGAGCATCTTTGGGATGTGGTGGAACGGGAGATTCGCATCATGGATGTGCAGCCGACAAATCTGCGGCAACTGTGTGATGCCATCATGTCAATATGGACCAAACTCCCTGAGGAATGCTTCCAGCACCTTGTTGAATCTATGCCACGAAGAATTGAGGCAGTTCTGAAGGCAAAAGGGGGTCCAACCCGTTACTAGTATGGGGTACCTAATAAAGTGGCCGGTGAGTGTATATATAAGTAATTTATAAATATAAGGTTGGAATATTTTATATATATATGAAAGGCTTCAATATGGAATTATATAGCAATTTATAAACATTACTTTTTCATATATGAAAGGCATCAATATGGGAGCACATATTCATTTATAAATAAATTGTAATTTATAAACAATTACATATTTTTTACATATGAAAGGCATCAATGGGAGCATATAGTAATTTATAAATGATTACATATTTGTTACATATATGAAAGGTTTCTATATGTGAGCATAGAGTAATTTATAAATATATCATAATTTATAAATATATAATTACATATGAAGGCATCATTATGGGAGCATATATAATTTCTATATGGGAGCATAAAGTAATGTACTAACTTATAAATATATAATTACATATTTTTACATATATGAAAGGCATCATTATGGGAGCATATAGTAATTTATAAATAATTACATATTTTTTACATATATGAAAGGCATCATTATGGGAGTATATAGTAATTTATAAATATATGGTAATTTATAAATTGAATTACTTTTTTTTTTATATATAAAAGGTTTCAATATGGGAGCATATAGTAATTTATAAATATGTCATAATTTATAAACATAGAATTACATATTTTTCTATATATAAAAGGCATTCATCTAATTTATAAAAATATCATAATTAGTTTTTTTATAAATATAAAATGACATATTTTTGATTACAAATATGTATATTTGTTCCTTCAGATGAAGTGAAAATGATTTAGGTCGCTGCTGCCAAATGCAAATGTAGAGCGTGTGGATTTGAACATTGTGAAAGCATCATCATGGAGATATTTAGGCAGTAGTTGTGCAGATATACTAGTGTGAGTTACACAATTTAGTGTATTGTAAAAGCGCCAACCACAAGAGAAAGTGTGTACTTTTAGTCACGCATTGTTCATCAACCACAAACCACAAATGTATTTTTTTGACATTATAAAGTAGGTCGAACTGGGGTTGGTTGGGTAACATAGGTCATAAATAAATATAAACGGGTAAATTGTTGAATGTCATCATTAAGATGACTCAAATATTTTCTAGAGGCCTAACAACCATCCACTCAACTCCTGCCTCAAAATCAATGATAACGAGGAGGAAGTTTAATGTGATGCTTCAGTATCATAAATGTATCCGCAATAAAGATTTCTTCTCAAACCATTGGTTAATTGTACATTACCGGCATTGTCATTCTTGCGTAAAGTTCCACAGTTCCTTTATTATGTGAATTGATAATAGCGTAAAAAACAAGTTTATTAATTATTAACGGCAACACGTCTATGAAAACCTCTAAATCTTTTATAAATTTCAAAGTAATAAAGCAGAGGGAAAAATCAGTTCTCTCAGGAAACAAAGAAGGTCCATGGAGAACTCCGGCTTCCCCATCATAACATAAAGCACATCTTTTTTAACATATTTAACTTGGTTTAGAGCTGAGGCTCGCAAAACATATCTGCTCAGAAAATCCAAAGCCAATTGTGTAATTGAACATGAAATGTTATTCATATTTAAAAAAAAACATCATTTTGTGTATGGTTACCATTAGTAGTGTAGAGGTGTCAACTCTGTTGACACTAAGCAGGGTCAAATAAATAGGCCGTATAGCTAGAATAGACTGGTTATTACTAATAATTCATTAATATAAATATCAAACCACGTGGCATCAGCAAACTGTTAAATATAAATTACAGTACGTTTTTTAAAATATGTAATATTGCTTCAAATACATATTTAAAGTAATTATTCCATTAATATACATGTGCACACACACTTTTTTAAAATATGAATATACATTTTATGCACTAGTGTGGGGTAGGTAAGATTTTATTTTATTTTTGGGGGAAAAAATTATACTTTTTGAGCAAGGATGCATAAAGGTGATAGGTTCAGAAACTCAGCTTTGCCATCACAGGAATAAATTGCAAATCACAGGAACATTGTAAAATATATTAATATTAAAATAATATATATTTTAATTAAAATTGTAATATTTATATAATAAATAATATTATAGTTTTTAAATGTTTTAAGTGTTTTTTGATAAAATAAATGCAGTCATTTTGAGCATTAGAGACTTTTCATTAAAAAAAAAAAAAGTACTATTAAATGAAACATAAAAAAAAATTCTTACCGACCCCAAAGTTTGAATAGTAGTGTATAAAATATAATACAATAGTATATATATATTGAATATGTATATTTAAAATATATTAAATATATTTTATAATACTGTAACAAAATCAGACACAGCAATACTGAGGTGTACAAATGTTTCATCATCTTTTAATTAAAAACGCATTCTGTATCATTAAAATATGCAACTGTTTTGAAATTCTCTTTCGTCAGGACAAAGTCTTGAATCCATTGAAAAACACTTCTAAGTGTGCTAGCGGTAAGCGCACGTGCTACGACATATTGAGCTGTTTGAGTCTGGCTCCTGTCATTTCCAATTTCCTGTCCTACTATCCCTCTCAACATAAAGGCCAAAACACAAAATAATAAAACAGAACGTGTATAGAGTACTTTGTGAGATTGTGGTTCATTCAGAGCTACATCCGTGTCCTCCCCAGCCATACTTGTTCCAACCCCACCTTTCCTGGCGTAGAAATATGCAGTCATACCGATTTCTTCTCCTTCTACTAAATCCCTTGCTCATAGCTTCCCCTTTCACGCATGTACACACGCTCTTATTACATGATAACCCCCTTCCAACCCTTATATATCCCTCCTCAGGCAAAGCTGAATAAATTCATAAAAGTGCCTCGAATTACAAGGAATCCAAATGGTTGCGCAGGTAATGACTGAAATCATTCCTCCATACCAATTTTACACTTGTGCAGACAGTTTGACAGGGCAGGAGAAAGTCAAAAACGTTTGGTGAAGGATATCGATCGGAATATCTCTCTGAACTGAAAGCTATCTGAAAATGTGACGACCGCCAACAAGTAAAAGCACATGTTCCAAAAATGTTCCAACTAGTGTGTTTGATGGGGGGGGGGGAAACATTCCCCTCTTTTGAAATGAAAGAATTGAATAAATGCTGTTTAGAGAATTTATGTAGTCGAAACGTTATCGGATTAAGGACAGGGATCAAATATGGGGGGGGGGGAAAAACTAGCATTGTTTTTTGCAAAATGTAACAGACCTCCTCTTAAAAATCTTTATATATTTTTGGTTACAGAGTTTCTAATAAAAACAAAAATTAAGAAAAGAGTCCAACAAGTGATCCTCCTGTTGCTGAAAGCCAATAGCGGTTTATAAAGTCCAATTGGCCCCAAGTGTCTCCGTTTCAGAATTCAAGTTCTGACAGACACGGGTAGGTCCACACTCCTGGTCTGCCTTGCAGACATATGCTCTGGTCACAAGAAGAAGAAAAAAAAATAGAATATGTAGAGTATAACTCTCATAATCTTGAAAGATAACAAAGCAATATTAAGTTTCCCTTGCCAAAACCATACTCATTGGACCTCTATTGGTCAATTCAGGGCTCCAGTATTCTAGACCTGAGACTTTTAACCAGAAAGTCTGAATCTCAACTCCCTTCGAAGAGCTGTAAGTCAAAGGCAGTGTGTTATTTAAAGGGAGAAGCCTCTAGAGATGTTCACTCTAGACTCAAACGGCCAATCCCGAATAGGAGAAATCCTCATTAGTGATCTCCTCTCACATACACACTTGGTGTGCCGGTAAAAAATCCCCAACGAGGCATTAGTTTTCCACAGGCGTGGGGTTTTGGGGCAGTGGTGGGGTTGCGGGAGGCTGGCTGACGATCACCTGAACGACATAGTCTCTGGAGATCTTCAGCTCTTCCAGCTTCATCTTGTCGGTGAGCGGTCGGCCTGAAAAGAACCAGCGCTGGCTGGTGGACGCCACCCCCTCCTGGGTCTGCAGACGCCGCTTCATCTGCTGGACGCTGTCGCTGGTGCGGACAGCCAGGCGTAGATCCCGGCCCGTGGATAGACGGAGACGCAACTGGCACTCCTGGCCCTCGCAAGCTGGAGCTTCTGGGACCTCAATAGTCTCCGACTCGCTCTTTTCCTCGATCATGTTGACGGGAGGGGAGAGGCAGTAGACGGGCAGCTGGTAGCGGTTCCCCAGCTCATCATAGCACTCAGTCAGAGCGCCTGGAGATAACAGAAAAAGAAGCCATTTAGACACATTTAGTCCCTCTTTGTTGACTTGTCTAATGCTTTGAATAAGGGGACCATAATATTCTAATATATAATCTACATATGTCTAAATATGTAGTCGAATCCAAAAGTTTGAGATCAATAAATGTTATGATGCAAAATGAATAAAGTCAAGAAATATTGAAGGTTCTGCGCCGTTTCACGAACATTATTCAAATGAGCAAATTTATGCAGTTGATTATAAACTCCTTTGTATAAACTGTCAGATTTCCTTGCTTTCATTGAAGCTCAAGAAAATAAGCTTTAAATCGTTCTCAAATGCTGGATAAAACCAATAATTTGTTTTTACACAAATTAAGTTCATACAATCTTGCGTTATGTCGATAGTAGGGGTGTAACCCCTCATGTCACGATACGATATGATTAGGTTAGTTTACTAACTGTTGATTAAAATGCTAAATTTGATATTACATCATGGGTGTAAATGAATAGGCTTGGACTTTGGCTGGTAACTCAATGCACAGGACAATAGTGACACCAGAATAAAAAATATTCATGATTCTGAAGCTGAAAACATTTATTTTAGATGAATATGCTTGCACTATTTCACTGACTAGATATATTTTAAATAATGTATAGGCCACTTTTTACTGGTAACATAAGACATTTGGCATTAAAAGGACCCACAAATATTCCCCCACTGCGTTATTATACATTATATTCCACATTATATATAGAAGTTTAATGTAGTTCTGACACTAAAACTTGAATTTTTCCACACACAGTAATTTAAATTTTGGGTGACCTATACACAATACATATTGTCACTATCTACGATACATATTGTTGCATTTTTGTATTGTGATATATTGTGACACCCCTAGTCCATAGATAAGTTGGATAGATAGACAGATAGAATAACAGAGTACCACAAGGTTCAGTCCTGGGCCCGTTTTTATTTTCTTTAACCAAACACAGCTTTGCATTTTTTAATGCTGGTGATATGGTTATCAATTGAGAGGCCAAACGAAAACTAACGAAAGCAGTTTTGTAAAACAACAGTGTCTTACAAACCCCCCAGTATGCAAGTCAAAGGTGAGAGTGGCGAGAAACTCCCTAAGATGTTCAAGAAGATGGGAAGAAACCTTAGGAGGAACCAAGACTCAGATGGGGAAGCCCTCCTACTTGGATTGGCACAAATTTAAACTAATTTATAAAAGGCATACAAATGTTAATGCAAACAAAAAATGTATTAAAACAATATAATACTATTATTATGTTAAAATAATACTTTAAGAACCATCAGAAATCCTCCAGGCTTTTGATTCTGTAGAACAGACACTTGGTATGATATTATTTGGTACTGGTATTAAGGTTGTTAGAAAATCCTACTATTCCTACTAATAAAATGAACAAAAGAAACGCATCACATGATGAGCATTCCTATGACAGAGAATGACTGTGGATCTGTCAACCAAAGAGGAAGTAGGAGTAATGAATCAATGGCAATGGGACAGGGTTAACATCACAGGAACAATAAGCTTACATCACTGGCTTCTTCCAAAGAGGAAGTAAGTCATTTTAATCATAATGAGCCACACCTCTAAGGAATTTAGCTAAAATTACTATGTAATATTCATTCTCCTATAATGACACAAGTAGGTTTTGTTTTTATGGATTGTTTTTGTCGTATCAGTAATGAAAAATGTCAACTTTCTGGTGAAACCCAGAAAAAAAATTCAAGTTCAACAGTTCACCAAAGAAATGAAAATGAAAAAAATACTATACTATACTATACTATACTATACTATACTATACTATACTATACTATACTATACTATACCCGTTCCATCCTGTGAAGTCAAACGATAGCTTTGTGTGAGGAACAAACAGAAATTAAGTCTTTATTCATTGCAACTTAGCCCTAACTCAACTTGGCGAATTTCATGAAAATTCATGACAGAAATTGTGCTCAGAAATTGTCAATGAATTTGTTGATCCTGCTCACAAAACCAGCCTGAATGATTTGTACCTGAATGATTTGTACCCAAATTAGAGTTTAGTTTGTCCGGTTGCAGCTGCTAACAACTCACAGGATTGGGAAGGGGAAGGATATCAGAGAATAACATACATTGGTTCATTCCCCGCACAATGATCTTATGAACTCATAATAAATATTGTCCACAACCTTTGTTGATGACTATTATGTTGCTTCTTCATCCTTCTTAAAACTTGAATGCCTCAGTCCGGCCATAAAACAACCATTATATTTATTCCAATTGTATCATATAGGTGTTTAATGGAAAAAAAGGTCACACATGATTTGGAACAAATGATGAGTCAGTAACAGATTTTTGGATGAACTACTCGTTTACAGTCACTCACCTCATTAGATACGTTTTGTCTAAAAGCCCGTTCACACTAAGAACAATAACTATACCCATTAAGTTTTTAAAAATCATTCTAAGAGAATAGCAAAGTCCACACCACAACTATTATGACAGATGGAAGAATAATTGGAATCCCTGATGAACAATAAACAGATGAAAATCCAACGCTTACAATACACATAACGTAGGAGTTCACAGTAGAAACCAAATAATAAAATCAGATTCGTTTTCTAAAAAAATCTTCATTGAATATTCACAACAAAGATTTTTGCTAGTGGCGATTTAAAGTTGAAATACAGAATATCACAATTTGGCAGTTAAGTTTCCAAAAGACTGTCATTATCCCAGTATAAAAATCATTCCTTGTTCTACAATTTATAAATATAAGAGCGTAATGAGACATTTCGATGCTTTAAAATCTCATGTTTGATTCATTTTGGATTCATGTTCGATTCAATAACGTGCTGCATTTTTTATTGATTTTTTATTGCATTTCCATCTACTTTTTAAATGAATGTTATTGATCTTATTGTGAAAGTTTCATCCATGCATGTTTATTTATTCTATTTACAATTTTTAGGCAATATGTCATAACTTGATCTCCCAGTGAAACAACAGACTTCTCCAATCATTTTATTAATTCAAGTCAAGTCACCTTTATTTATGATTATTATTAAATATTATTTGTGTTTATTTAGCGTCAAGTAAATATAAGGAAGCCAAGCCTTAATTATAACTGGATTTTTCCTGGATTTTACTTCTTGCATAATACATTTTGAATGGCAGAAGTGGCTGATTGGTCAAATGGTGATTCCTGTCAATGAAGAAAAAGAGAACAAGGCAAAATTTGTGTTGCTATATCGCCCAGGCCTAGTGGACAGCGTCCTTGCAGATGTTTCAAATCAGCATCCTCCACAGTGTAAGGGTATTCATGTCCTAGTTGTGTCACTCAAAGTGAAGACCAAGCAAGGATGTAAGGAGATGAGATGACACTGATGTATTATTCCCTCCATGTGAACCTCTTCTCTATTCAATCCCAATCTTAAGTACCCCTCTCATCATATTAATGTGCCTTTGACAAACGCCTTTAGACGGGTATTCAGCCAGTGAGAGTCAATAAATGTTCAAGAGCTGCTTCAGAGGTGATTTCTTGGCTCTCAGTCAAATACAGTAACTGTCCTAGTATCAAGAGCCTGACCAGAGTCCCAGGAAACAGCTTGTACCTGATAACCGCTGCAATGTAATCCTCATGACAATAGGTGTATTTATTTTGATTTTTAATGGAACTGGTTTTAAAAAAAAAACGTTCCGGAATCTGTCTACACTGTACAGACAAAAAAAAAATTTATGTAGATAGATTATCGAATTAATAATTTATGAGATCTTTTGTGAATATATCAAACAGTACAGTATGGCTATTGTAGTCCAACCAATACACAAACTGATTCTTAAGTGAAATATCTTATAAGCAAACATACAACTGATTCAGTGTTATACTAGTATAATTTATATACTATTCAAGTTAATTAATTGGTTCAATTTAAGCTCAATTTTAATTAAATTTTTAGCCATTTTGTTATGTGATTGTCATTTTTTTTAATTACCATTTAAGATTAATTTTTATTTCGGTTTTAGTTCAATTTAGTTCCTATTTACTTCCAGTTAGTAATATTAGTGCTTTAACTTAAACTTATGCCAAGGCGACATTTACATTTTTTGTTTAGTTTCCCATCTGATATTCATATTTTATTGTGGCTATATTTAATGTAATAAAAATCAGTTATAAATTGATATCGCAAGTAAAAGCAATTATTTTCACTATTGGCCATTGGCCACATGTTTTGAATTCAGGGATGTTGAAGTTAACGCAACAAAAAGATAGAAAGATAAAGATTTTTAAAAAAGATTTTAAGTGTTTTTAGTTAATAATAACAACTGGTCTGATTCCTAAATACTGTATATGACTTTATGAGTCAGTTTATTTTTATTAAATCAAACACATGCAGGTTATTATTGTATGGCGTTTACACTGTCACCACCAAAATGACTGAAACATCATTAAAAAGCTTTTTTTGAAAATTGTTTTAAGAAGTCTTTCAACTTGAAATGATGCGTTTCATCAATAACGTCCATTAAAAGGAATCAACTGATTCTCATAGCTAGTTAGGACACGTTTTGGTATCAACACAGAAATAACACGTTTGTGATTTTACTAAATATAAAAAGCTGCACTTGATCCTCTGGGATGAAAAGGATAAAACTAGGTTACGCAGATCTTTATGTACACTATCTGAGATGGAGAAATATGATGAGCTCAGCAGTTACAGTAAAAAGGCCCTACGGTTCTGCAAGACTACTGTCCCAGTTAGACACATTCAATGTCGTCTACAATACCAAATTTCCAAATACTCAGTCTCTACACTGAAACCAATGTGATTCAATACCAATAAAGTGAATGGAAGTCAAATGCTCTTCGCATAACCGTGACCACGATTTCTCAGAAAGCAAGAGAACTGCGTAACCCACCTCTGTTTACTCACACCCAGAGAAGAGAAAGTGGAGAATGGTTATGATCTGTGACCTTTTCACTGGGCGAATCTCAGA